CAGAGAAGACAAACGAAATATATTCTTTTTGGACGAAACTTACGTTAACCAAAGTCATAATGTCCAAAAATGTTGGCAATCTTCGTCGGAGCCTGGTGTTTATGCAGATATAGGCAAAGGAAGGCGTTTAATAATAGTTCACGCTGGTAGTCGGAACGGGTTAGTTGACGATGCTCTGCTAATTTTTAAATCAGATTCAAAAACAGGAGACTATCATGGAGACATGAACTCTACAAATTTTTACAACTGGGTTGATCGAAAGTTAATACCTAAACTTCCACCTAACTCAGTCATAGTTATGGACAATGCAGCTTACCACTGTGTGCAAGTTGAGAAGAAACCGACTATGTCCTGTATGAAAATTAATATGCAGAATTGGTTGCAAAATCATAACGTGCCCTTTTCTCCCACGATGGTCAAAGCTGAACTCTTGGGCTTGATTAATACGACCCAATCAGAAAAAATATACACGATTGATGAACTTCTGAAAGGTGCAGGTCATACTGCATATCATCCAGATCTCAACCCAATCGAGCTTGTGTGGGCAAATATAAAAAATTGCCTGGCCAGAGATCACATTAATGCTACATTGGACGAGAAAATTACAATACTAACAAGACTATTTTCTGAATTTTCTGCCGAACAATGGCAAAAATGCGACGACCACGTACAAAAAAACGAACAAGAATACTGGAATCATGATATGAGATATGATACTGTGATGGACGAATTCATTATAAACTTACAAGATGATTCTGACTCAAGTTCAGACAATTCAGAATCAAGTGATTCAGAGGATAATATGTCAGAGTAATTTCATATCTATAAATACAAAGTCGTGTTAGTTACACTAATTAATTAATAATAATTTCATAAATGATTCAAATATGTCGGAAGAATTTCATTTAATTTGTTTTTGGTTTATTTTACTTTTAATTGCAATGTACGGACAACAGCAAGTCCATCAATACATAAATGTCAAATTTATCCAATCAATTTTATACTCTATTCCCTGGACTTTAAGTTGAAAATCAATTGAGGAAATCTGACAGTTTGTGGCGGCCTGATGTGCTGCCGACTGTACATTGCAATTAATTAGATAGGTATAATATAAACTTGTAAAAGTTCAATTGGCTTTAATTTTTTCTTTTCAATAACTGAACAATTATTGTTCACGATATCTCGAGATTGGTCGTCACTGTCTAATCTCATGTGCGTTGCGAGCAGCAAGCAACCCGCCCCCTCACCCCTGTCCCTACCTAAGGCGCGGCCAGCTAGTTCCGCGCGCACTATAGCACAATAGCTAAGTTATTGTATAGCTATGTGCATTGCTTCTATTTCTTGCGATCTTAGAGTCAACGCACACGGCGTATTTTTTATGGACGACGCGCAGATGACGTACGTTAAAGCGTTTGAAATGAAATTCAGTCGCAGCCAGTAAACCTTTGCACAGTTTCATAGTGAGCGCCTACGGGGCGCCGTAAACGGGCGTCGTCCTTGCGTGAAACATACACTGTATGCACGGGCTCTTAAGGTCGTTCGCATACCCACCGTAAGAACATTTGCGGACTATGTCCGATTCCTATAAGTTCCGAAACCGAGAAATGACGGTCCGAAATGTCACAGGGATCAATTTATCTCTAGGTATACAAGCGATATCCGAAGTGGGTCCGAGTTTTCTAGATTGTTTTTGTATAGATGATTTGTGGTTGTTAACCGACTTCAAAAAAGGAGGAGGTTCTCAATTCGACTGTATGTTCTTTTTTTTATACATATGTATGTTCCGCGATAACTCCGGTATTTGTGAACCGATTTCCATGATTATTTTTTTGTTGGAAAGGGGGTACTTCCATAGTGGTCCCATTTCATTTTGAAGAAAATCATCCACCTTTAAGGGTGGCTGTTCACGCATGAAGATTCATTTTATAAATAGCGCCTAACTTTAATTTAGGAGCAATTATTTAAATGGTGGATTTTGCTATTTCTCTGATTCAAGGCGTTTTTCTCTCAATACACTTTGAGTAGTGAGAACCGCTTATTATTATCTCCAGTGTCAAGTCCTGTATAGTGGCGAACTAGGGGATATTTCAATAAAACTTAGTAAATAGACGTAATTCCACGTATTTTTGAGGTCGGTTTTTTTAGTACACTGTACTGAAATTATTATAGCCTCGGATTCTGAACGAATACGAATCGGATGCAGCGCGCAGACGCGCTAAGGGCCTTTATCCTCCACACTTACATCTTCTTGTTACCCTTTGTTAAAATCTATACAAGATGACTTTTAGTCACCATCAAAATTTTTTTAGGCATTAGATAACAAAGTCTTTTTTTTATTGGTTTATCCAATTTATATTACAATAAAACATTTCCTTCAAAAGAAATTTTAACATTGTTTGGGCAACAACTACACTTGACATTCGTCATTTATTCGAAAAACGAGGCGACAGCGACGTGCGGGGTGTAATCATGTCCTCATCAGTCGCTTGCGCAGAGACAATTTTGTGGCGCCATATCTCTGTATTTTAGTACCGAATGATACTAAAAGAAGAAAGTATAGCCGAGACTGTGCACTTGAACCCTGATATCCAGGTGTACCAGTCAAGAAAGGGAATCGCCACACATCGATGGCTTTCTATTATAGTGGCCTATCTCAAAAGCATCTAATTCATCAGGAAGAAGGTATAAAACACACAAACATATCGTAGACTACCCCAAATTTGGCATGTGATTATTTTAACCAATGAAAAGCTCGGTGTCCCATTCCCAATAAAATTTTGCCAGTTTCGAACAATTACATCACTGTAATTGTTAAGGTCAAAAAAGGAACTATTTTGGATTGGGCCACTATTGGACCACAGGAGGAAGCGAAACGCGTATCTTCGTGTTCGCTTTTATTTCATGAAGCTGACAGGCTCTAACCATAATAACTGTAGATCTCTTAAAAAAGTTCGTCCAAGGAAGTACTGCCACCTTACCATTTCTGCCGCCGAGCAGTAATGTGAGCATTACTGCGTTCCGGTTTTGAAGGGTAAGGGTGCTGATGAAATTACAGGCACATGGGATTTGACAACTTATGTCAGTGCAGTGCCCCTCAGATCTTTGCGATTTAAATCTCTGTGTGGCACTGCAACTGTTATAACCAGGCGTATGTCTTACCACCAGGCGCACGAGTTGTTCCTCCCGTCACTTGGTAACATACAAAAAAAGGTTCGATAGAAAAGTTTATCTACTTTAGTTAGATGTTCATATTTGAGTTAACGCTAATCTTGCAGCAATAATTAGGTAGTGGACAAATCACTGCTATTACAATAGTGTTGTAATTCAAAATATGTGAAATTCAAGATTATACTATTGCTCAATGTAAAAAAATATTCTGTACGCGTCAGTAAAATCGTCGTTAAAATATTGTAAGAAACAATTAAAAGATATTTTTTTAACTCAAACTAAGACAATTTTTTGTGAGCAAAACAGTCCTTTCTCAGAAATATGAAATTAGCTTTTCCCTTTTTTTTTAAATATTAGGGGTTAAAGTATGAAATTGCCGTTTTATTGCAATAGGTTCTTTGAATTTTCATAGAATCTTCATGGTTTGAGGTTTTCGAATGAAACTTTTTTCAAATGGTTTCTGTGATTTTTTTTTTTAATTTGAAACATTTGAATATCGACTTTCAATTGTTTTTGTTATTCAATTTAGACAAGAAAGATGGATACTGCGAAAATTCGAGTGATTTTTGAATACGAGTTCCGACGCGGAACTAACGCGGCAGAAACAGCCCGCAATATCAATGCTGCGTTTGGAGAGGGGTCTACTAATGAACGCACCGTGCGATTTTGGTTTAAACGCTTTCGTGATGGAAATTTCGACTTAAAGAACGAGCCACGAGGAAGACCGCCCACACAGGTGAATAACGATGAATTAAGAGAGATAGTGGAAGCCGATCCTAGTCAAACTACCCAGGAATTAGCGGCATGGTTTAACGTTACCTTACCCACAATATTGACTCACTTGCGTAAAATCAATAAAATAAAAAAATACGAAAAATGGGTGCCTCATGATTTGACTGATCTGCAGAAAGAAACGCGTGTTGAAACTTGTGTTGCCTTGTTGAACCGGTACAGAAATGAAGGAATATTGGATCGAATTGTAACATGTGATGAAAAGTGGATTCTTTATGATAACCGGAAAAGAAAAATGCAATGGCTGACCCCAGGTCAAATGCCACAACAGTGTCCTAAAGCAAAACTTACCAATAAAAAGGTAATGGTAACTGTTTGGTGGTCTCAGCATGGTGTTATTCACTATAGTTTTCTCCGATCTGGTCAAGCAATAACGGCAGATGTCTATTGTGCCGAACTCCGAACCATGTTGACAAAACTAGCAGTAAAACAGCCCCGACTCATGAATCGATCTTCACCATTATTGCTCCACGACAACGCGAGACCTCACACAGCACGAGAAACCATTTTGACCCTTCAGGAACTGCAGTTAGAAACCATTCGTCATCCTCCGTATTCACCAGACCTTGCTCCAACGGACTACCATTTTTTTCGTGATTTGGACAATTATCTACGTGACAAGAAGTTTTCTTCCCAGGAGGCAGTACAAAATGCTTTCACACAGTTTGTGCAGTCTAGATCGTCGGAGTTCTATCGCAAAGGCATTAATAACCTTCCCATTAGATGGCAGCAATGTATAGATAATAATGGCAACTATTTTGATTAAATAAATTTGTTAAAAATTTAAAAAATAAACAATTTAGATTTTCAGTACAAATCGGCAATTTCATACTTTAACCCCTATTATATTTATCAAGTAGGAAATTGTTCAGATGTCTGTAATAAACTTAACCTATACATACATTTAATGATCTTTTACGGGAAGTGAATATTTCATTTTTCATCGGTTCTGAAAACATACACTTTTTTAATTAATACACTATAGCATTAGCAGTGCGAAATATCCTTACTAGATTGTCATTGATCACTGGGTAACTTACATGTGGGTATTTCTGCGAAGGCGCCATAGTAAGATGCCCCATGTGGTTATAATGAGCTGCAGGGGAGGAGACGTACTGTCCGTAGTCCGGGTCCACCCCTCCACCCACCACCGGGTAATCACCAGCCTGTACAAATTTCAAAATTTACATTAATAATAATAACGTTTCAGACAACCACACGGTCTCAAACTAGGGAATTCCCTGTACTATGAGTACCAAAGCAAAGGAATCCATACCCAGAACAGAACCAATTCCAAAATTAGTCCTATCGGAAATCGAACCCGGGACCTCCTCGAACAGCGGCCATAGTGCAAACCGTCGGATTACCGATGTCGTCAAATGCAGTAACTACTTTTATTTTTGATAAAATGCCATTAATCATCTTTTGAAAAATATGTGGGGTACTATTATCTATTTCTATCACACTAGATTTATACATACATATATCAGTATATTTTTTCCTTCTGATTTTTTCTGTTAACTTAATATAAAAAATACAAATTATTAATTAAATAATTATTTTTTTGTGATGGTGGGCGTTGAAATTATTTTATCTTGCCTAAGTGGGCGGTGATATTACTGCTTCAAGGGTTTTGTGTGATAATAATTTGTTTTCTTTTTTTTTTCTATACTTTATTCTTATTTTCCATTTCCTTTAAAAATTTAAGTTTTTGATGTTATCCTACGTAATTGCTACGCCTACTACGTTATTACGCCTGTAATGACACAACATACTGACACAGTATGTTATATATAATTTATATGACAAAACAGTGGTAAGTTTCCCTATGTATGTGACGAAGGTGTATCTAAAAAAGTAAATAATGCTTAATAACCATTGACGAAACAATGCAACAAGAATTCTTGAAACATTAGTGTAGATTTTTATGTATGCAAGAACTTAATTTATCAATAACAGTCGACTTATATTTATACGTTTGTAAAACTGCCTGCGTCTGTCACGCAAAGGTCCCGGGTTCGATTCCCGAACCGGGAGAAATATTTATATGGCCTATATTTATTTATCTCGTAAGTTTGGGTGTAATTTGTGGTTGTCTATGTGTAAGTCCATGGCACCCGCGCACAGGGTTTCCCTAGTGCGGTGCTGTAAACGTGTGCGTTATTATTATTCATGAAACTAACCCCGTTTGAAATATTTACATATAGGAAATGAAACTATTTTTCGGATCTAAATCGCATATATCCGTTTTTTCAAACAAACCGAGTTTCGGGCCCTTTATTGAGGAGTCTACTCCCGGTCTATGTACAAATAATAGTCTGTAAAAAAAAACAATTACAGTCAAACAACTAATACTCGATTAGATCAAAAGACAATGTCAAGCATGAAGCTGCATTCGCAACATGCGTCTTACGATCGATTATTACTATTTGAGAGTAAAGGCCCATTTAAGGTAAGGTCACCAAATAAGGCCTACCTTATTTTTTTTCTTACCTTACTAGCAGGTTTATAATAAAAATGCACTGGTTATTTGAAATACTTATATTTATTTATTAAACTTTGTAATAAATGAAACAAAATTACTTTAGAAACAAAAATCAGACTTTTGTGAACACAAATAACTAAAATGTCAATTTGGCCTTATTGGGAACCCCGTGTCTTAATAAAGCTATAATAAAAACAAATAAGCATTTAACTTCTTAATTAATGCAAAACGTTGTCAATACTTATATTAAATCTAATGAGATCCTATTAATTACTTTTCGTCATTTTAGATCAGACTTAAAGAGTTTCTTATTATGTAAATGTACTATTTTAATCAGTCTTTTTTATTAAACAATCTCCTGAACAGTAAAATATTTTATCAGCGGGTGTGAGTCCAACGCACTGCTCATGATACCAAACGCCACAAGAAAGACATCGTCGCATATCATCAACTCGATCTTCTTTACAAGCTGGGCAGTACCAAGAAGGTTTACTATCGTGACGTTTTGGTTTAGATCCCGCAAGCTTATCTGCTGTCAAAGAAGCAGATTTTACTGAGGTTCGCTTGTGCTTTGCCGCAACTCCAGGTTGCGCAGATGTACAGCCGACAACTGACTTTGGTGTCTTTGTTTCTTTGGTAGCACGGTCACCAAACAAATATTTTGTTACCTCTTGAGCCCTGTAATTCAGAGACTTCTTGCGCGGAGCAGTCGATTTAACTTTAAACTTAGGAGTTGGTAAAAATTCATGAATCTCACACGTGGTTAATGGGTTGTCTATCTTATTTGGAGTTCCAGCATTCGGATTGTTTTTTGAGAGCAAGGACAGTGGTAAATTCTCAGTATCTGTGCTAGACCCATCTGAATCTTCCACATTTGCAGTTGAAATCTCTTGTGCCCCCGATTCATCAGCAATATTCTCACTGTTTGTAGGGTTTGGAAGTTCTGACAACGCAGAGGGCGCAAACGCCTCTTCAGGAATGACATCTTGGTTATATGGGTACAACCCTGTAGCGCGAAACCCATTTGAAATATTGTTAATAGTCATACATTTCGGCCATACTTGCGAGAGAATGACATTGAAGCTTGTCTTGTTAAGGGTTCGTTGGGGATGCTGACTGACGTATTTAATCAACTCTTGGTCCCAATGGTGCTCAAAAGAACGATATACAGATTTATCCATGGGCTGTAACTCATGTGTGGTATTAGAAGGCAGACAATATAAAGTAATGCCACATTTCTCTGCTTGCTCGACAATAGTAAAGTCCAGGTGGCATTTTGCGCCATCAAATATGAGGAGACATGGCCCTGAAGTTCTGTATTTATGCAAATGATGAATAAACTCTCTGAAAGTTTCTGTCGTCTTACTTCCTTTTGGCGTCATCTTCACCAGAGAGCCTGGAGGTAAATTATCTTGAAATTCTGGCTTTAGTCTCTTGCCTTTGAACAGAATCATTGGTGGAATAGCTGATCCTATAGCATTTCCGCAGCCTACCACTGTCACACTTTCGGCATGCTCATTCGCTATTTGATGGACTCTCTTTCGCCCTTTGGCTGTCAAAACTTCCTGCTGATGGTGCAAAGATATGCGACAATTTTTTTCGTCGATGTTATAAATACTTTCAGGTTTATGTTCAATTCCAAGCCTATCCAGCACGCTTTTGTACTTGGAAAAGTGATCGCTAACAATATCTTTATTTAATTTTTGAGCACGAGCTGGATTCATCATCTGTGCTTTGCGACGTGCCAATTCAGGGTGTCGTTTGAGAAATAACCTCAACCATTTCTTCCCAGCGGCATTTTTGGCATCATTGAAAGTATTTCGAATCTTCTTAATTTTACAAAATGAAAAAGCCTGTACGCGCAACATCTTTGAGGTCATCGGCACTCCAACATCAGCCAAACGTATAATTCTTCTGACAAGTCCAGCTTCTTGTTCTGGTGTCAATATAGCCGATCGACCCAGCTTTCGTGTAATCGAACCACTCGCTAGATGGTTGCGTAGGGTTCTTCTTGGGATGTTGTATCTGACTGCAGCAGCATATGTAGATAATATACCCCTTTCTACCATTTTAACAGCGTTTTCCATCTGTTGCGAAGTCCATTGAGCCCTTTTATTGCTCGTGGTAGAAGCTGGTGATCTGTTTTCCATGACGTTACTGAAAACAAGGGTTTACTATTTTACTGTGATACTTTCCGAACTGATATTAATCATTGTCCTAATAAGGCCTATACATGTGCCTTTATAAGGCCTATTCATTTTTTTAATAGGCTTTATTAGGACATAGCACATGGGTAAAAAAAAAACAATTATATGGAATACACTGATATTACGGCTTTTTCACTTATGTGAGGAGATGGCAAAACGTATAACTATCCTATAGACAAAACACAGCACACCGTGTACGAATAAAAATAAAAATACTTACTGTTTACTCTGCCAGAATTTTATAAAAACAGGCGTGCGCTCCGCGTCGTAGTAGTTTTCGACTGCAGGTTGCAACACGTTCGCGGCACGGGCCGCTTGCTGTGCTTGTGTGCGTTGGTTAATGTGCACGCACACTATTACGAACAATGGCGGCCAATTGAAATCGCGAAGCGGGAAATTTTAAAACTAGGCTTTATTAGGGCATAGGCTTTATTTGGGTCACCCACCTTAGATGGAGAGAGTTCATCGCACGCTTCGTGACGAAAAAGCGTAAGCAATTATCGCAAGCAATTATCGCCATAAGATTATCGTATCATGATGAGATTCGATCTCGTATGATATTTTATCAAATTCATACGATTATCGTACAAATCGGTTCGTACCGTTTTGATTGCGAGAATTGCCATTCGAGTTCAGTGATTACGGCGGTATTGACTACGGATATATCAAAATGCAAAAATCATTCAAATTTGGGACTGCTAATAATATTAAGTTCATTGCACTGTATAGAAATATTTATGTGTATTTTACTACATATATATTTTTTTAATTTTATAACATTTCCTAATCCACAATTTGTTTTCATTCTCGTTTCATTAATTCTTGTCTTAGAAAAGCAGTGATAATAAAAACACCCTCGCGCACTGCACTCGTGTTAGCGACTGACTGGCACAAAAACTCGAAATACGATTTTTGCTTTCAAATTCTGTTTACACGGGGATGTTCAATATTGAAAGGCGAGGCGATTATCGCTCACGTGGAAGGACGATAATCGGGAATGTTTAGACGAGGAAAGTTTTCTATACTCTTTCGATAATCGTATCTTCGAGACGAGAAACTCTCTCCATCTAAATGGCCCTTAATTGTATCGGACGGATGTCTGACGGAGAACGGAAGTGGACCCTCGGGTCCCATGGTTACAACTCACAGTCAGAAAGTCATCCGTGGCCATAAATATAACTACAGCGACATTATTAACATTCACCATGACTCTCCTCTCAAGACTCGTAAAAAGAAATTTAATTTATTAAATTCAGTCAAATAATTCAATCATAAAAGTAGTATACGCATCAATTTCTATTCATATTGTCAAAAGTGTAAACACACAACAGGCGTGTTGCTTACTACCAGACCCACGACTTGTTTGTCTCATCACTTGGTGTCATAAAAAAAGTTTAAGAAGGAATTCTTGAAATTTCTTCGCGTCGCTTAAAGAGATGAAAGGAGTAGAAAACAGTTGTATGGACATTCTAAAAATAAAAGCCATGAAAATGTATCTTTACACTTTCTATAACAAATATTTGATAATGAGTTTTGTTGTTCTTTGGAAATCAATATTTAAGAAGGTGAAGCAGTGGGTATAAGTTTTTACAAGAAAATTTAAATTTATTTGTTCTGAAATTCGGTGTATACGAAAATTACACAAAATACTAAATTTTGGAAAGTACCTCTAAAAAGGCATGCAGTGGAGCATTAAGGCGAGTCACCGAAGGAAAAATCGGGAAAAATTGTTTTTCTATATCAAATTGTTTAGGTATTTACTATTAAATAATGGTCTTACAAAAAATATACGATACACCTAAGGATAAACCATCTAACTTTGTACATAATTTTTATATGGAGATATTTATCTTTAAGTACAACAGAGAACCTGCAAAATTTTGGTTTTCAGCTGAAGCCCTATTACTTACTAAATTCACATTTATCCCAAAATTTGCAAATTCGACACGCCGCACCGCCTAATGCCCCGTCAGTCGACATCGGGCGCTTGTTGATGTCGGATCTGTCAAATGTCAAATGTTCTCCGCCTGTTCTTATTTTATTCATAATAATTTACAGCGCGCGGATTGCGGGAGACTCATCTCCTTATATCTAAGCTCGCATGAAATAGCTCGCCTTAATAAGTGTTACCTGTGTACAAAAGTCATAGCGCCTATTCGGTGCCTAATTTCACGCAAACGAAATCGCAGGCACAAGATACTAAAAAATAAACACATGAGATGAATTACTTAAAAGATAACATATTAATAAACAAGTTTATTAATGAAAATAATAACACATATCACACGTGATACATAAGTGAACAAGTAATTAGTATTTACCGTTAGAAAGTAAACCTGATAGACTACTAGCACTAGGGTATCGTGCGCCAACGTCAGCTCAGTTGATATAAAAGTTGTAACTAAGTTTTAAAACTTTAAAGTCTTCTGAAGTTTTATAAAGGCTTCAGAAGCTTTACAAAGGACGTAAAAGCAAAAGTTTATGAATCAAGAATCCTAAAATACACTCGAAACAATATACACAAAAATTCAAAACAATCAAATAATTTGTAGAAACGAATAGGATTTGGATATCTATGTATGATTTTTTGAATAGAAAAATGATGGGAAACCTTATTTATAACCTTATTTATTTTTGCCGTCAAGTAGTAATGTGCGCATTTGGTTTTATTTTGAAGTGTAAGGGTGCTGGTCAAAATTACAGGCACATGGGACTTATCAACTTATGTCTCAAGGTGACGGGCGTAGTGGCATTGCCCCTCAGATGTTTGCGATTTAAGGGTACTGGAACTGTTATGGACAGGCGTGTCGCTTACCACCAGTCGCACAACTTGTTTGCCGCGTCACTTGGTAAAATAAAAAATATATTTAAATTGTTATTTAAAAAGCTCTGAGTGGCACTGCCACTGTTTTGGACAGGCGTGTCGCTTAACAACAGGCGCACGACTTGTTCGTGCCGTTACGTTGTATCATAAAATCGTACATACAATGAAAAAAATTTCGTACAATTAACATTTAAGAATCGATACTACCTCAGCTCGAATTATAATTTTCCCATACTAATACGGTTCATTTTGGTTGGGTCGAGCGGCAGGATCACTGGCTTTATTTCCGAATTTATTATTTACAAACGAACTTAAAAACATTTGAAATATATATATATAGTATAGTATACGTGTTCTATTTTGTTCAATTGATATAAAAAATCATTGGTATACGTAAAGTACCTATATACAATACAACGGTTTTCTTGTAAAATTTCGAGGAAAGTTCGTGCTTTTTTTTTCGAAAATAATATATCCTTATATCCTATATTATATCCTCAATTGTACTATATATCTTTTAAGTGATTGATTCAACACTCTCACTGTTATGCGGAATCAACCAAAGCCATTTAAGGTTGTATAGACTCTTAAAGCAAAATAATGTGTTAAATCATATTATATCTGTTCGTTTACATACATTTACTCACGCCTTTGGATTCCCACTGAGGCAGGCAGTAGTTATCGATCGCCACTTTGCACGATCCTGACAAACCTCAAACCTCTTGCTTCACTTACATTCATCAATCTTTTCACACAAACCCTCCTATTCTTCTCACTACGCACTCTAGCCTTTTTAAGAACATTCTCGATTTGATCTGAGAACGTCCTTTGTGACCGTCCTCTTCTAATGTTACCTCTATATATCTCTTTCGCCACGCGCGCCGGTGTACGTTTATGTGCAAATTTTAACTCAAATTTTTTGCAATAGAATAAAAATAGAAGTTAGAATAATAAAAGAATATTTATGTAACAACTTAGGAAATAACTTAGTTAATAGTTACTAATAGTTAGTTATTAATAGTAATAGTTATTAGTTACGTTTTTGTTTAACTTTATTGTAATAGTCAGCCTAAAATAGCAAGTGTTTCTTTAGTTTGTTTTTGAAGTGAATTAGATACATGCTTGGAACTAACGTTCGTTAAAAAAATGCCTTAAATGGCCCCAAATTCTAGTATTTGGAAAATGCAAATGTAAGGGCGAGATTAATACAAACCAATATTTATATTGGTTTAAAATAAAACTCTTAAAATAGTGGTATAAAAAGAATTTAAATCGTATATACACATTCAATGGACCAAAGTTGAGTTCTAAAGTTTAAAATAAGATTTTCATCTGTAAAAGAGAAATATAGATTTTATTTATGAAGGTAGGTGCAGTCCAGAAGACAAAGATTTGGCAAAAATCCAAAGGAGCTCGAGCGAACAAAGGTGTACGGTGAATATTGAATAATACCAAGATTATATTTGCCGGTGGAGAAGTACATATAATTATAAAAATCCTTTAATATTTTTCCTTGAATTTTTGAGTTCAGTATTTGCATAATTTTGAAGTTCAAAAGACTTCTGACAGGTCTCTATTGAAGGAGATAGCTGCTCTTTCAAACAATTGTCAGAGGTCTCAGGGAAAAGGCACAGAAAAATAATAGACAGACAACAAAATGGGAAAGGAACTGTAAACCACGACCAACACAAACCATGCTTGCTGGTTTATCAGTCTTGGAAGTGGATACTATTTACTAGTTCTTATCAATGTCCCACAGAACCTCTCCAACCGTGCAACTGAGTTCTGTTATAACCTGTGCGAGTTTTTTGCCGGGTTTTAGTTTTCGAATGGTCCGAAGAAGCTACGGGACCAGAACTTATAATATACTACGTGGTGCTGATGGGGCGAACAGTAAGTACAGTGTTATCAGAGGACCCATCGGACCGCAATACGCGGCTTTGCTAAGGCCCTTACACGGCGTCCATCAGCCAGTAACTTTTCATCAGCTTACACGCATCCACTGCTGGAAATAAATCTCCCCCTGAACACGCCAACTCTTCCTGTCCTGTACCGCCCGCATCCAGCCGCTGCCGGCCACTTTTCTCAAATTGTCCGTTCATCTAGTCTTTGTAGCTAGTAACTACAAAGACCTATATTCTCACCTGCATTGCGAGATGGTGTTGGTGTGCTAGCGCGGCGGACAGCTCAGCGTCCTCAGTGGACGCGTCGGACCGCGACACTGGGCTGTGCTGCGGCCCGTACGCGCCCTCCACCGGCCCGTTGCTGAAACAAAGGGACATAAATGTAAACACTTTCAATTAAATTGGAAATGGAAATTAATAATTTCTTTCGCCATTTAGACATGGCATATTACCCTGGAGAGATTTATCGTGGGGTAGATTAAATATGACTAAGCTAGATCTAAAGAAGAATATAGATAGATATACGCTAGTTGTGGCTTTATATAAATCTTGTCCTCAATTAACACAAGCCTTAAAAAACCTAAGGTGCAAAAAACGTAATGTGAATAAAAGAAGGACTCTAAATACATTATAGATAAAAAACTATACATTATTATCCATATTCTATAATATTTTGCTATCCAAATGAGAACATCGAAATGCGCGGCAATTTTAGGAAAGCAAAACACATCATTCTATAACACTGCACTTTATCGCCTTTTTTTAAACACCATGATCGCTAGTATAGCATCATATCAATACTATCCAAACTCATGGTACCACGATTTCGTTTAACCAAGGTAAACAACTCTTTTATGGGGAACTGTATACGTTTTTACAATAAGATTTCGGAACAAATATTAAGTTTATCATTTCCTAAGTTTAAAAACTACATTAAAAATATTTTGATCGAAAAATCATATTACAAAATTGAAGACTACGTGTTAGATAACGATGTATGGAAAGACGACACGGCTCCAGAATCCACAAATTTGATTCAAAGTGTATTTATTCCATTAAGTTTATTTGAAAAGAGCAATCCCTGGAGTTTCTTGCTCGTGCTTCTCATGGAGGTCAGCGTAGTGAACGAGCAGTAGCTTAAATGTGACGTTTTCAAGTGTAAATTTATTTTTACCTAGGGAATAAATAATCTTTGACTTTGACTTTGACTTATCAATTCACTTAGATACGACGCAATAGATTTAAATAAAACGCGCTTTACTTTTGATTCCGACAATAAAAAATAAATTGCGACCAAAAGTTTATATTAATATATGATTAATATATGGTGTGCAGTGTGGCGCGTACCTCGTACACATTCCTCGCTCGCATCCCTAGCACACATTCCTCGCCCACATTTCTCGTTTTTTTTATATGTACAAATATTTAGCTTTATTTTTCATTTATCTTCCAACACAAAATTGTTTATAAGTTTAATTTTAATTAAAATTTATATATAAAATTTAAATTTTTAATTAAATTTATCGTTCTTAAGTTTAACCTACGAGTACATACTGCAATCTCTTTAACGGGTTCATACGTAGGTGGGTACAGTCCTCGCACAGCATTATAGCGCATTCTTTTTTGATAAACGAAAATAAACATTAAACCAAATTCAGAGAAATAATGTTAAATAAGAGAAATAGTAACTATTACTACTAATCATAATATTTTAATTTTTTTATTACTTTGAATACATTTTTGTGTATACTAACAACAATAACTAACAACATTAGTACTTGATCGAATTTTTTCATTAAACAGTACTAGAGTATTGTTTTGATGAAAAATGCCTTCAACCTGTTTTTACATTGCTTTATATTTTTACATGCTAATATTGTCTGTTTAAGGTGTTTAGGTAATGTGTTTAGCGTATCCGTGAGCATGTAACCCCTTGTTCTTTGTCCATATACATTTATATATGTCGGTAAATTGTAAGTTGGTAAGTACGATAAACTACGCAAAGTAGGTCTCCTTTTTTGTTCCAAGTCATGAATTAGTGTGAAGCTTTCACAAATAGTTAGTATTCTTATTTTATCAAATATACACACATCAAAAAAAGTTTGCGATCACTTCGAAAAACTGAAATCTTTTTTGTTACTGTAGATTATATTATGATTTTTTCTTCTTTTTAGATTCTTTATTTAAAAATAAATTAGAACATAAAACAATGACCCCGTTCAATTGTTTTTTCATATAAAAAGGCTTTCAGTCCTAGCTTACGCTCATTCAGAAATCCGATTTAGTCAATTATAAGCGATTCAAGATATTTTTCGCGGAAAGTTGTGATTGAAAAAATGCCAAGAGGATTATCAGAGGTTTTACGAGCTAGAATAGTAACTTTGAGGGAAGAAGGATACACCACGAGAGTAATAGCACGCAGACTTGCTATATCCCAATCCTGTGTCGTGGCTACGTTGCAGAGGTATCACGGAATGGGGAATTTAGCTGACCGACCCCGCAGCGGTCGCCCAACTGTTTTGACAGCTGCCCAAAAGCGCTATATTAGATTTCTGGCAGCCCGTGATCCAACAATCAACGCCACTAAAATAAAAGCAGAAGTCAGGGCCGCCTCTGGGCTTGAAGTTAGCACGCAGACCGTTCGCAATTGCTTGCACCAGGCTGGATTACGAGCACGGAGGTCTTGGCGAGCTCCGCTCAATTCCCGGCAACGTCAACAACGAAGATTGCAGTGGGCTAGACTTCAGCAAAATGAAGAAGGTGAGGACGAAAACATTTGGCACAACTGTCTCTTCGTTGACGAATCCCGAATCAGCACTCATCCAGATAACCGACGTGTCCGTGTCTGGAGAAGACCAGGCGACCGTGAAAGACAAAGAACTGCCACTGGAACAGTTCAGCAAGGCGGAAAATCGGTGTCCTTTGGGGTGGCATTATGATTGGAGCTAGAACGCCTTTGATCCCGTATCGGGGCTTCATGACAGCAGACATGTACAAAGCAGTTGCTATTGATGATATCGTCAGACCATTCCGAGTAAACCATGGGCACCAATTTGTACTGGTCGATGATAATGCGCCCGCACATCGAGCTCAACGAGTCAATGCTGCTCTTCAAGAATACGATATCACACGATTAGACTGGCCTGCCGGCTCGCCCGACTTAAACCCAATAGAGCACGCGTGGGATGCTCTTAAACGAGCAGTATGGAACCGTGAGCCACGTCCCCAGACAGTTCCAGAGCTCAGGGAAGCCGCTATTGAAGAATGGGATAGGTTACCCCAGGAAATGCTGGATAACTTGATCCTCAGCATGCCCAGGAGGATCTTCGCATGTATTCGAGCCAGGGGAGGAGTTATTTTATATTGAATTCACACCTTTTAATAATAAATTGTTGTTTAAGTTTAATTAAACAGTCTTTTTCTTTCTATGAAATTTCTATCACTATTACATTATGATTAATGGCTCAATTTTTTTAAATAAATAATAAAAAATAGTTTTATATTTTAATTTCAAACAGGGTATTCCTATTTAAAGAAAGCATACAACATAGATTTTTTCTTGATAAAGTTAAATTTAAAGAATTATAGGAGCTTATGCTATTGATCGCAAACTTTTTTTGATGTGTGTACTTAGAACTCTACAGTGACCAAATAATGTGCGTAGTCATCCTTATACATGTTTTTAATTTTAACAGGTACAATTGTTTTAAGTAGTGTTGTTTGTAGGTTGTATATATCTTAAGTCTTATAGGTACTTCCGTAGCTGTTCAACCCGTATGAGATTACTGAGTCCACTAATGCTAAGTACATGGTTCTTAATGTTTTGTATGGAAGCTCAAAACGAAGAACAGAGAATTTAGAAAGTAAAATGCGCAATTTATCACAAAAATTATTTAATGTGGTCTCGCCAATGAAACTTGCTATCAATCATCATTCCAAGGTACATGTGATGTTGGACCAGGTATATTGGTTTGCATCTTGTGTAGACACTGATGTTCGTGGGCCAAGACGATAGGTTGTGTAGACTTAGGTTTATATGGCGATACTATGTGCAATAATTTTTTTTTGTGCGTTTATAACTAGACCAGCATCGTGCGCCCAGTTACACGCAGTATCAAAGTTATTTTGCATAACTTTTTGAGCAGTCCCTATGTGTGCAGTTAGTAGACATATATCGTCCGCGAACTGGTACACAGATCCTTCTGCAAACAAGTTACACATTTCGTTTGCGTACATCAAGTATTCTGTGTGGGCAATATTTGAACCCTGTGCTGTCTCTTGCTCCGTCAATATCCAGTGTATTAAGTGTAAAGTTTGAAATGCTTTGCTAAAGTCTATAAACAAAACTATCACATGTTTGCCGTCGTTTAAATACACGTTTACTTCATTAGTGAAGTCTGATATTAGTTGATTAGTATTCCGGCCCTTTTGAAACCCATATTGCTTATTGTTTATGATGTTATTTGCCTGTAAAAAGTTATTAATTTCGTTACTAAAATATGCCTCTATTATTTTGTCAATGCAGTAGTATTGTTATTGGCCTATAGTAGTTTATGTTAGTGTGTGATCCATTTTTATATATAGGTCTTATAGTACCCATTTTTAAATGTTCTGGGTGGGGTTGGATATTTATACATGCGTTTATTAAATGTTGCAATACATGTGTTATTTCATTGATTATGTGTTTTCATCGGCTAGTCGGATACCATCGAAACCTGGACTTTTTCTGTCCTAGAGATTTTTAATTATCTTGAATACTTTTTCACTAGTTGCTTTATACATTTTCATAGTAATTTTTGGATGGATACGGTATGAACTGTCTTTTATTATCGGATCGTTACAAATATCGCTTATTCTTTTAATATAGTTAGTGAATTCTGTGGCAAACATATTACACAGTAATGTATTGTTACTTTAAAAAATAAATATAATAAGTTTGTCTATGAACTGTGTGACTTTTCCACACAGCTTATTTATTAATTCCCACATTTTTAGCCCTTAGCTCCGCTAGCCCTTTTCCACCAGAGCTGCGCTAAGCAAGGCTAGGAAAATGAAGTAAACCTTTTGGTGAATTTTTTCCTCACACGCCCTCTAGTTACCCCACACATCTTTTTTTTATAACATCAAGTGACGGGACGAACAAGTCGTGCGCCTGTTGGTAAGCTACACCTGTCCAACAGTTACGTCACTCAGAGCTATAAGTTGCAAAGATCTGAGGGGCACTACCACAGCGCCCGTCACCCTGAGACATAAGTTGACAAGTCCCATGTGCCTATAATTTCATCAACACCCTTACCCTTCAAAACCGGAACTCAGTAATGCTGACAATACTGCTAGGCGGCAGAAATTGGT